CACTGCCCAAAATATTAATAGCTCCTATTCATCACTACCACTCCCTGTGGGCTACTTACTCCGCAACGTACGACTTCCCTGCTCCTTCCCTGGTATATCTGTGCCTTTACAGAGGCCTCCAGGTCACTCTGCAGCCTGCAGCTGCAGGAGGAGGGAATCTGTGGGTAAGAACTAACCCTGTCCACATCAGACCTATTTTCCAGATAAACAGAGGATTGCCTAAAGAGAAACCACCAAGATTTTCAGAAAAAGAAACAAAACACCAACAAAAACCCAACCCTAGTTTCAAAACAGCTTTACTGCGGTACACCTGTGGCTCCTGCACACATCCCGGAGTTCTGCATCTGTATGTTTAAAACTGCCCTGTGCCCTCACTGTGCAAGGACAGGGAGCTCAGTGATGGGCTATAGGGAAACCTTGAGGCTAGGCAGTGAGAAAAACACCGTCAGAAGGAAGAAGCAAAAGTGAAAACCAAGCAGAAATATATCTCCCTAAACTCATCTCTAAGTTTCACGTCATCCTTGCAACACTAGGAGGCAAAAAATTTCAGGCAGAAATGTAGTGGTCTAAGTGGACAGCATTCCTTCAGAAGTCTGTGTTACGACGACAATGAAGAGCGTTGTCCTGTCTGTGCTCTGCTGGCTGAGGTTTCCAACTTTCAGAAGGAAAATGAGAGAATTTGCAGAAGAGAGATTAAAAAGTCTCTCCTTGATAAACGCAAGACATCGTTCCGTCCTGTTTAAATGGCCTTTATAAAACGTTCATCGCCTATCAACTGATGTACTCACTGCTGACAGGGGAAAGCAGCAGGCAGCGCGGCGCTCAGTCTGACCGAGGGCCTTGCACCACCAAACGCAGCAAGCGCCCAATCCACGGGAAGCCGTCCCAAACGCACAATCATTTTTAAGGGGAAATTTCCACATGAAAGGATGACGCTGGTAAGAACAAATCCTGTTCTTCTCTCAGCCCCACTTTCCCTGAGTAAATGAGTATGCTAAAGAGCTTTTACTTCAGCTGAAATGGCGTATCACACTCACATGCTTCTCAAAACTCGTATTCGAACTGCTAGGAAAACAAAAGTGAAAAACAAGTTAAAAGCTCTCAAAAAGAAATGAACTGCAAAAACCCTAACAGCCAACAAGGGTTCTAATACAATGCAGAAGAAATACATATATAATGTAGATGTATACAATATTTGCTGGAAGCTAGCTGGAATTATGGATATGCTGGGAGGGCCACAGCCAGATTTTGCTTAAAATCAGATTACAGTTCAGTGTGTCAGGAGTTAAACTACGTGTTACAGAAACCTCCCAGGATTTCAGGCGTAAATATAAAAAAACTCATGACACCAGCTATTTGTAAGAAATTTTGCCAGCATGACAAAAATTTCAGCCGAATAAAAAGTCAGGGTGTATGCTGTGCACGTGCTGGATAAGCGGTGTGCATCACCCAAACTGAGATGTGTTTTGAAAGTTCATTCCCAAAGACAACACCGGGGATGGTGCTTTTCCCCAATCCAAAAAACCCTTCTATTGATTTTTTTCCCTTTAAAGAAATCCCATGCCTACCCCATTTCAAAGGAATCCGTCCATCTTGCAAAAGCTCTTGTTATTCTGCTGTTGCTTTTCCCTGGGTCTCAGTAGGGGTGCAGCTACACGCTTGAAATATGTATACAGCAGGCCAGCACGTTGCTCGCCCAGGGTGTAGTCAGAGTCCCTGCAGGCAGGCAGGCTGGCCTTACTGCTAACAGCAGTTGCAGAAGAAGAGATTCAGAAGCACGAGTGAAATCTGATGCTGTAAGCAAGCAGCCTGTAATCAGGTGTACAGCTAGACGTCGTGGTTCACACACGAAATCTCACCTAAACTTCTGGCTTTCCTCTCCTCTTCATCCTAAAATATTCCTCTTTCTTTCCTTCCTTTCTCTCTTTTCTTCTTCTTCTACACAAACTGTGCTCTTGGCCCTTTGAGTAGATTTACCAGATCTACGCCTGACCTACTTTTCTATTGTTGCTCCTGTGGCTCTCATCAAGAAACTTGGCAGAACCAAAAGGCTTCATAGCAAGGCAGCGAAGTCCTCTAATGAGGTACATCAGCGAGCAAACCTTCCCCAGAGTCACCCTACCCTTGCTTCGGTTTCGTTGTCATTCAGGTCAGGAGCAAGCTCCCAAAGGAAGAAGCTTGATCTCCCTCATGGAGCTAAGACTCCGGAACCAAGTTCATGAATTTAACCAGAACAGCAGCCCATGGAGGACCCTAGGAGCAAGCAAAGACATTTTGAACTTATAGGGAAGAAACCAAACTCACTTGTCCCAGACTTACAGCTTCATGCAGAAATATCTGATGTGGTGTACCATTCCTGGAAGCTGATAACATGACAAAACCTAATAATAAATGCAAAGATACAAATATAGTCAAGGAGAAGAAGAAAGGACAATGTGGTTCACCTGGCTATCACACTTGTCCAAAGAAGTAACAAATAAAGTGACAATGAAATTGAAGAGTTTTGGGTTTCCTTCTGCTCATTTACTTTTTGCATCTGGCAGAACTTTGTTGCTTTTCACTCTTTCGTCTCTCAGCAGTTCTCCACCCCTGCAGGATCACCCATCCATCGGGTGCCCACGTGTGCACGCAGCTCCCGCCGGGCTCAGACAGGCCTGTACACCAGCACCGAGGGGCACCCCACCAGCCAGCGGGCAGGATTTGCAGCGGGATTAATGTGTTTCACCCTGGCTGAAAAGGGCCTTCACAAACCTCCACCGACTTCTACCATTCCTGACTAATAAAGGGAAGAAAAAACCCTTATGAAACTGAAAGGAATTTTAACAAGAGAAGTCAGTGCATGCTCTTTCTTTACAGGGTGTTATACTAGAAATGGAAATCTTTTGCAACTTAAAAAGCAGCTAGACATGGAGCATAACCAACACCAACACTTCTCACACTGGGGAAGCTTCAGTTCCAGATCTGGAGCATTACGTTATCTCCAGCCTTCAGACACCCCGTTAGGCATCAGGGCTCCAGACGGTGCAACCACTGGCACAATACAAAGGAAAGTTTGTGGTTGTCTGGGCAAAGCTGATGCTTCCAGCTCCCCTAGAACTCTTGGTAGGTTACGACCGTAAGTACTGTTCAAGAAGTGAAGCCCTTTATTATGCACAGCACAGCTCAGTTATTTTCTTCAAGCGAGCACAGAATATGTGAAACTGGCTAGAATTACTGGTGTAGAAGCTCAAGTATGCTTTTTTCCACAGTATGAGTAGACTGACACCATAAGGTGCCCTTAGTCCCTAAATCATACTACTGTGTATCTCGACCCTGACACAAAGGAAGTACACAGAATCACAGAATCACAGAATCACAGATTCACAGAACATGAGGGGTTGGAAGGGACCTCTGTGGGTCATCTACTCCAACCATCCTGCCAAAGCAGGGTCACCCGGAGCAGGCTGCACAGGACCGCATCCAGGCGGGTCTTGAATATCTCCAGAGAAGGAGACTCCACAACCTCCCTGGGCAGCCTGGTCCAGGGCTCCGTCACCCTCAGAGGGAAGAAGTTCTTCCTCCTGTTCAGACGGAACTTCCTCTGCTTCAGTTTGTGCCCATTGCCCCTTGTCCTGTCACTGGGCACCACTGGAAAGAGTCTGGCTCCATCCTCCTGACACCCACCCTTAAGATATTTATAAGCATTTATGAGGTCCCCTCTCAGCCTTTTCTTCTCCAGGCTAAAGGTACCTCTCAGTGACCCACAGATTTTCTTGTCCAGAAGTGTCTATTATGATAATTTAGCTTGGTCTCCTGAACAGCACTGGCAATGTCCATTTGTTTAGTAGGTCCTTTCAAAAATACCAGCAGAGGAACCAATTAATCTTGTTTGTGACAGCAGTGGGCATTGGCAGAACGCCACCTCTCACCTGCTAACGACTTCAGCAGGGCAGCTCCTTTCTCTGGGGCCAAGAACAGCCTTTGGACACCAGCGATGGAGTTACGGAGCCACACACGAGCCCGTGAATGACAGCTGAAACTCTCTGTACATAGTTACTCGTTCCCTGTGCGATCCAATATGTCAGTGACAGAAAATCACAATCAGCATGTTTCTCTTAGCTGGCTTTAAGTACCTGCAAACTGTGATTTCCTATTCTGGAAAAAACACGTATTCATGGAGCTGTTAAGCTGATAGCCTCGCTGATTTAAGCTAATATTGTCTCCTTTTGCTTGTGTGATTTCAGAGGAGTTACCGACACACTTCACCATGTCTATGCAAATATCCTGCCACAAATTATATTGATATTGCAGATCAGATAAGATCACAGCACATTGTTTAAAGATCTGCCTGTCATACAATCAGAGATGTGCCAAACAGCAGGACACTACAAAGCAGAGCCTTTGTTTATAAAAGAAAAAAATAACCTCTCACTGGAGATCTTCTTGATGTGTACACAGGAAATTATAGGAGTAAAATTCAACGGGTATAGTTTAATAATTAACGTTATACTCCCTGGGATGACTTTTTTTTTGAACGATATACTTTTTCCTGATGCCTTTAATCTTTTCTCACGAGGATTTAAGATCGAGTATTTTACTTCATGCTGGATCAGCTAAGGGTGTAAACCTGGTCACTGAGAGACTCAAGGTTCATCAGTGCTCCTTGAGATATCAGCGTCCATCAGCTGTCGGTGCTTGTTTGCGTGCTCAGGGTTGAGCTAATCACCAGATTTGGAATGGGGAAGCAGTCCTTTTCCAGATTAGCTCACCAGAGACTGCTGTTTTCTGTTTGTCATCCTCTGCAGCATAGTGCGTGGTCTGGAAGCATCTGCAAATGTCACCCAGCAAATCTCCTGCTAGCCAGGACAGCTTAGAAATGCCCTTGATCTCTCCTCCTGTGGCACAATTATTGTGGTGCTTTGTCTTCCAGCACAGGCTCGGAGCCTGTTGTGAGGAGCCTGGAAATGCACAGCATCCCAGGGTGAGATAGGTTACAGGGCACAGGACCGTGTGTCCGCAACATGCCCTTCTGCAGCTTGAGAGGCACCAGTTCAACGACTCAGGTGGTGCCCCCCAGCCGTGTGCCTTCAGCCCATCGGTGTGACCGAGCCTTTGCTCTGGAATCACTGCCACGGAGGGAGCTCTGCAGGTACTGTGGATGCAACTTACCCACATATCTCTAAATGTACACGACTACCCCGGAGCTATTGGCTCTAGGTTCATTTATAGTGCCAGACGTGGAAGAGAGTCATTCGGGGTTCATCTTTATTCATCTCTACGTTCAGTCTGCATTTGGTCAGACCGATTCCACCTGCAATAATGATACCATCTCAGGGTCCAGCTTTAACTCCCAGTGTCCACGTAAGCAACGTCCTGGGCTTCGCTTTACACTCAGGTCGTGAAAAAGACTCTTAAGATTAGTGTATGAAAAACAAAGCAACTGACTGCTCTGTTTGCCTGCCAACCTTACCGAAGCTTGAAGTGTAGAAACCAAAATCACTCCACTCAGTTGTAGACTTTTAACCAAGCGAGCTAAACAAGCCTTGGTTCCTGTACAATCAACAGACAAAAGGAGGCTCCTCAGAGAGGGAGCCAGTTAATGTGAAGATCTGACAGCTCTGCAGAGTCTCTCTCCCTCCCTGCAGCAGAGGGCAAGTGGGACTGGCTTGTCCCCACGAAGCGGGGTGACTGCAAGCCTTAGGGTGGAGATGAACAAAGTGGGAAGACACACGAACGAGAGTAGAGTGAAACGACGGCTGCGTTTCTGACACGCAGAGTTGAGGTGCAGGGGTTGCACTCTGCTCACCCCTTGCAGCGAACCGCATGCAGCCATCCCCTCTCACGCGGGCTGTCCCACCGCAGCCATTCCAGGTCGTGGCACCACGTTCTCGGCGCGCTCAGGAGAATGAGCCTTTTTCCTGTTTAAGCTCAGCCTACAAAAGCACAGCTGAGGTTTCAGAAAGTATTTTACCCCCTGCCTGCTCGCAGTGATACAGATAGCTTGCAACAGAAGTGAGAAAGTACTGGGGGAAAGGAACCCTCCTCCGAGAATTTCCAATGTTAAGGCCTTCATGAAAGATGTCATTATAAAGAAATGAACAGACGCATTTGTCAGCCTCTGGGAGGTTTCAGAGTGGCTTCTATTTTTATCTCTTTTTATCCCTTGAAGGAACTGAGAACTAATATTTGCAGTGCCTGACTGAGGATATTAACGTTTTCAAATAGCTGCCATTCCTTCCAGGGCAGCAAATAGAGTAACTTGGTTGGGTTTTTTCACTGGTTTGTCTCTTGAAACGAAATTTCTGCAACTGTGTTTCCAGTAAGATGCGCCTGCAGGACCATCCAAACATTCTGTTCCTGTCTGCTTATCCGGTATCGAACCTGAACAAATCTGAATGATGCGTGAGCAGCTAATACATGTCCAAAATACACTTCTTTTGCTTTTCTTGCAGTATTTTTGCTATGCTATGCGCTGTTGTTTAGTCTGAACTTACAGACAGCCCAGAGATCACAGGTTCGTGTAAAATCACGATATGTGTTTACCGAAGATAAAATGCTGAGAGGAGAAAAAAAAGGATGAGAAGGATGTTTTCAGAACAGAATAATCTCATGGCTAACTGTTATATCGGTACCAAACTCTCTTGAGTGAAATGATTTGCCCGCCTGGAGCAGCAATGTTTCTATTTACAGTGAGCAGAGTGGCAAATCATTAGTCCAGTTCTGGTACATTCATGCCTCGCACAAGCGTCCGCAAATAGGAGGAGGCTTTTTGAAAAATCATCACTCGTTACTGCAAGACTAGATGAGACTTGTCTAAAGGACTGTTGACGTTGCACTTGATGAAGCAGACGGGTCGCTGCTGAGCACACTCTATTGCCTTGCCAGAGGCTAGGTCTGTTGTCAGAGCAGCTCTTCTGGCCTCCACTGGCCCGAACAGCAAACGATCAGCAGCGGAAATTGAGACTGGAGATCCCATCAGAAGGAGATGGCGAAGAGCTCGCTGCGTAAGGTTATATTAAGGACCCTTCCTTTATGGAGCAAAGGTTTCACATATATTTTCGTCCATTACATTTCAAATTTCACTCTTCAAAACACGAAACCATTACCAGCCTACTCACACGCTCACTGTCTCAGGACTTAGCGCAGGGAAGAGGATGAGACACTGCAACCTCCAAGTGCCTTGCCACAGAAAAGAGGGCAGGCTTGCATTTTTCAGAACTTTTTCTTCTTGATTATTTCCTCTGCAAAATTAAAATAAGCAATTTAAAGGCAAATTTGAATTAGCATATTGAGGACAGCTTATTATTTATGAGATGGAAATCAGGATCTTGGATGACTGAACTCATTAAAGACCATTTGGAATAGTTCCCATCTATTTCTTCCACGGTACCCACACAACAAATAATTCACACAGTAATTAATGCCACGTCTTCCCAAACAATACATGCTTCCGACAGGAACCGTTCAAAGAGGAAATGCACGAAACTGCACTGAAATAGCAATAAGCTTAAAATACATACCAGCAAAACCAGGAAACTTCATCTTAGGGCAATCACAGCTGCTTTAGCTGAACTCACGGGGCCAAAGACATCCCCGAACCAGCTCAGAGAAGGTCACTGGAGTTAGACAAGGGGGGAGTTTGGCCGACCAGGCCTCCGCACTGGCACAGCTCTCGCCTGACCTTGTGTCAGGGGCTTACGACAGACAGCACTCTGTCTTTCTGCCCACGCAGACTACACAGTGTAGAGAAACAAGCCTATTTTCCTCCCCAGCTGTAGCCCACGGGGCTATTTGCACAGCAGTGAATTAAATAGTTTACCAGTATTGTGACTGCCTGCGAAAAGCTCCTACAGGCATAGCTACGCTCTGCAACGGAGCGCAGCCCTGGGATCCCCCGGACGGGGCCAGCCGAGGAACCGGCAGCAGGACAGCTGTGTCAGCACAGTGCCGTGCCTGGACTCGCCCTCCCGAGAGCTGCGGAGGTAATTAAGCTCAGGCAGGCTGCCACATTTTCAGTGCCTAAGAGCCCTGCACGGCAACACGGCGAACTACGCCGATGCACTGGCCTCTCAGAGCGTCTCTCCTCATGCCACAGTGCCCGCTTCTGAAATGCAGGAAGGAGCATGGCATGGTCGGGTCTTGCAATAAGGAACTGATCGCTTCCAGCCGCTCTTCACTGCTTGTGAAGGGCCGGTGGCCTCACCGCCGGGCTGCGGTACTGCATTTCAGGGGCAAGCAAAACAATCCCGACGATAGCAACTTGCCACCATTCCCCAGGGCAGGGGCCTGCCGGGCTGGCAGGGATGCTGTGTGCTCTGTGCGTCCCAGAGGTTTGCTGCCTGCTAGGGAGTACTTATCCACTCAGCATCTCTGTGTAACACTGGTCATGTCTCATGAGAGGAACTCAGGCACAGAGAAATCAGATCTTCCCAAGGAAACCTATGGCAAAAGAGAGAGCTGAAGCTAGATCTCCAGATTCCCACATTTATTATCCTAAAACACAGTTTATTCTTTCCTTCTAATCAACAAAGCAATGTAAGAGGCCACGATTTTGCCCTATCCACACATTTACCTTTCACATCACAGCCACCACCATGGTAAGTAAGAGTCAGCAAGTCACGGACATGAGCAGGACACCAGCGGGAAGTGCTCCATACTTGCTGCCTGGCAGAGTAAGAGTAAGGACTGAAGCTTGAAGGGATGAAGCATGCAGGAGGGACATCACTGTTGAGATCCCCGGAACAAAGCTGTCAGCTGAGAAAAGGACCTCATCTTCAGAGTGGAAATCCCAGTGCCAGGCAAGCCAGTGACAAACATCCATTAGAGAGCCATCTCTCTCACAGTCCACCTTACCGAACCATGGGATTGCCACCACGTCTCCTCGGAAAACATGAAGGGATGTGCAAAATACAGGGCTAATTGGTTCCTCTTTGTGCAACCTCCACAAGCAGCTTCACACCTTCTGTTCGCTAAGCGGGATGGAATATTTCTGTCCCCTTCCTACCAGGCACAGGCACTGCAAATCACACACAGCCAGTAAGGAGGAGCTGGTCTAGCTCTGCATAACAACGTAGCTGGCTTGTTTCATTTTGCTCTCGCTAAAGGAGAGCTCTCAAAGCAGTCAAATTGATTTTAATTTGTTTTCAGAGGGGAAAACGCGAAACAGCTAAGAGGTTGAAAATGTGCAGTGAACAAAACAGCTGTACTGTAAACCTCTGAAAAAACGTACTTTACAATGGTAATTATGACAGAGTAAACGAGTGTCATCAGTGTGATGGTACAATGCACACAATACTAACTGTTTCCTACTCAAATATTTGCAGACATCTCCAATTTTTTACTTTAATGAAATCTCATCTAACCATTGAATTGACTTTAAGAACCATTCTGCGGCTCACAAGAGCATTCGCTGTCAGAAGCTCTGTCAGACATCTGAACTGCAATCTGCCCCCAATGGTTCCCAGCTTGAGCTAGAGGAACGCTGTAAATGTAGCTTTCTAGGAGGTGGCGAGTCTGAAAAATCCCTGCCTACAGAGAGAACGCTAAACCCCGAGAGGGGCTGAGGACCCACCCTGCTCTGCAGTTACAACAGGAATCGTCAGGACCCCCACACCTCGAACAAAACTTCTGGTACAGATTTTCTCTGCTTCTCAACACATCTGCACGCGACCGTGCTGCGGTGCGATTAAGCTGTCCTCCTCGGATGGCTAAGCACCTGGAATGCTGTCATCATTCGGCACATATGTGCATGACAAGTATGGACTGCAACCACAAAGCCAAAGAAAATAAATTGATCCCTTTGAGAAGTTTTTGAGAGCTTCCCAGCTATTGGATGGGGAGCAACACAATTTAAACAATGATACATTAATTAATGCGAAATGACAGCATGTAAACCCCTAGGGTTTCCACTAATACCAAATGAGTTCATGATGGTTTATATCAAATAGAAGGAAAGACTGATGGCAAAGCCTACAGGTGCTAATGACACCCAGTTATTTAAGGAAATTGGTTTTGCATGTTGCTGGGCATTATGCAAAGAATATTCAATGGGCTGAATCCTGAGGTTGACCCTTCGCTATTGTTTTGTTTCAGGCAAAAATGTCTATCGGCTTTAATAAGAACTTTTTTTAAATAAAGGAAGTCACCTCAGATGTGACACTTATGGATATGTCTTATTGTCATGTTCAATATAGTTGTCTAAGCTCCTGTATTTGTGACATCCTGCTTCCTGTTGGCTCTCACAGTGTCATTCTCTCTCACGTATTTGCCAGATTTTCCCATGTTTCCTTTAAGTGTCTGCTTGGCCTGAGTTTCCCCAGATCCAAGAAAGACGACGAGGACTGCTCAGTACAGAAGGAGAGGCTGTGTTTTGCTGCAGTCCCGTTAATCTTTGAAGAAATTTGGAATCAGAAGACAAGCTGGCATGGACTGTATTTCAAAGCTGGCTGTGAAAGCCACGGATTCACACACATCTTCAAGGCCAACCATTTCTACCCCCCTGAGGCAATGAGAAAACAATCCTGTGTGCCACCCCTGCTGACTCTGCAGAAGTAACTCTGCCACGAGCCTTAACTCTCACCACTCTGAGAAAGTAAAATAGTACGGACAGCAATGAAATCACTAAAATGAGGGAAAAAGACTGGTGTTCGCCAGATGGAGAAGGGCACACTACTAGGCACGTAATGTTTATTTTAACACTCCCAAAGTCTGCTAAAGATAGTAGAGAATGAAAATAAACGTGAGAGCTATCATACTGAAGTAAGAAGAGTTAACAAGCATCTTTAGGGTAGCAACGCAAGGGAGGGATTCTGGAGCCGTACGTCTGACTAGGTTCTGTATCAGCCGTTCCGACCACCCAGCCGACAGGGCACTTTACAGACAGGAGGATACGTCCCGAGAAAAGGGGACAAACCAGGGTACCCTTCATTTTGATGGATATCAAAATGCCGGTGCAAATAATACTATTGCAACTGTTCCTAGGCTGCTCCATACATCACCAGATACGGGTCCGCACAAAATTAAGGATCATGAAGTAGAATTTGCAGGCAGCAAAGCTCCCTGCAAAACTCTGCAAAATACGCAGAAACATATGCAAACAGTAATTTCTGAATAGTTTTACCATCCTTATTTGACTCTACTCCTTTTGGAAACCTTCTCTGGATTCTTCAAGAGAAAAACCTAAAATATATTGTAAAAGCCCAAATCACTCTGCTTATATATTTTATAATTCATTTTTTATGAACTGAAGAAGAGAGTTCATGAAAATTGAGAGAGTTATCGAAGGCTGCCATCCTTATTCCTGAATTTATTCCTGTTTATTGCCCTTTCACAAGTGGCTGACTCAACAGACAACTGAGAAAAGACTAAATAAGTCTTCTCTGGGTGGCATTTTAAGCTGGAGTATTTTAAGAACTGCTATTAAGTTGCAGCTGAATATTCCAGCAGACTGTCTGACCCCTTTCTGAATCAGAGTGCCACCAGGCTAAATATTTGCACAAATTCCAAGCATTGCCCTGCAGATTCTGCACAGAGAAAAAGCAATTTTATATCCAGGTGAACAATGGCTCTTTACTCCACCATGTGATCTGCAAAAATTGCAGTCTTTAGAATGACACCAGAGTAAGTAGATTTAACTGTAGATCTAGCAAAATCCTTGTTTCCTCATGACCTTTTTTTTTTAATAATCTTCCTTCTCTATCCATAAACAAGGATATAACTATATAGAGAGATCTCTTTGTGTAGAGAGATCAATAAATCTGAAATTTTACAGAAATTAAGGGCAAAGGAAGGCATTTCAAAGTCTTCAAAATATAGATGTGAACGAAAGTTGCTGAGTTGCTGCTAATGATACCAATTGTCTGGGCTGGAATTTTTTGAGACGAAATGTTAGTACTTCAAACATACAAATAAGGTCAGTGAAAGACTTCACTGAATCAGCAAAATTCCTCAGCCTTCCAGTCTTTTAGAAATAAATAGAACAATTGAGGTCTAGTTCTAAGAAAGGAGGACTGAAGAGATTGCACCAAGAAGCACTATTTTAAAAAGGTCACTAAATGTAACTAATGTAGATCCTAATATGTTGCTGCTGGGTTTGGGGCAGTAGCAGGTAATGAAACTTGACTCTGTAATCCTGCATCTCTGAGGCACACCTATCTTCTAAACGACTCTTTTGTGACACACAATCTAAGGAAGTGTTATCACAAGTCTCCTTATAATGGTGGTTAGTAGAAACTATTACTATTGGTAAGAAAAAGGTCTTTTTTTCTAACTTGCAACTCGGCAATGAAATGTTGGGTTTCGTTTATTTTGAAGAGAAATATGCTCTCGTGACCGGAGGATTGTCTTAAGAAAACACACCAACAAGAAGAAACTTAAAAATCAATACCCCTTTCTGTTTAAATAATTGTTTTGTCACTAACTCGCTGACTGATCTTACACAGCTTATCAACACCTATAGTTTTCACAAGTACTCAGTAATTTTTATTTGTATCATTTGGGCAGAATGAAACACAGCAATAGGGCTGATTTTCAGGGACATGACAATGAAAATTTCAGTTTCACATGCAACTGGTGGGAGTGCAGAGGTGCAGCATCTTAAAACCAGTCTTCCATCATTCACCTCCCAACTCCAGCCGCAGTTACCACACACAAAGGTGTGGCTTTGCCTACACGGGTCACAAGTTTCAAAATTAAGAGGTCAGAAATCTTGGACTAAACAGCACAGTCACAGCATGCCCATCTGTAGAATGGGCAAAAAGCCTACGCATTTTCTTCCCAGGGGACCTCGCGAGCGACCATTTGACCACTGTTAAATACGTCTGTCGCTTTCAGTGCATCAGGGAGTCTTTTGTTATTCTTCCTTTATTAAACTGTCAGACCCTTCTGGGACGGGAAGGGACTGCAGGAAAAGGAAACACGAGGAAAGGAGATGACTGATGGCAGGAGATGAATGCGGCAGCGAAATGCACTGGCCATTTGTTTCACCTGCCACAATGCCAGTACAACGGCAACAACCAAACACTAGCAGCCTTGACAGCAGAGCACTTGCAGCTCTTAGACCCATGTGCTTAGAATAGAGGCAGTGGAGGAATGGAGGAAAACTTAATTATTTACTTCTTCAGTCCTGGTCACGACTCAAGGTCAAACTCCTTAACTGTCTTCTCAGATGTAACAGCTAATCAAAGGTATCCTTTAAACAATAATGGACAAGGGATCTGACCAACAGTGAAGGGTTGGATTCTTTAACCACTTCCTGCTGGTTTCTGCTTTTCTAAAAAGTGATTGTGATTCGGCAGAGGAAGAAAAAGGAGAAAAGTGATTTTCATTTGGCAGAGGAAGGAAAAGGAGAAATAAGGAGGAAATGAAAAGGAGCGAGGGGATTGATTGGTCTTTATTTTAGTGATTTCCCTAGTGGTAAATGGTGAGGGTGTACTGTAACTTTAACCGAACACCATCAGTTTAGTAATACATTGTCAACTTACTAATTAAACAAAACAAATTTCTGCCCAGCTTGGCAATTATTTTCTGTGCCTGTGGCAAGGAGACTCTGGTGCAAGAGAAGGGCAGTTGGAGGGGGAAGGGCTCTCTCTTCACCAGGCAGGAGGCCAGCAGTGAAATCCTCCACAGGTGTGTCCACCACAACTCCCACTTTACATGAAGACAGGAGAGAAAACAGGAATTTACCCATGCACGTCCCAGGCACTCAGCCATTACAGAGACAGATACCTTAAATATGAAGAGGTGATATTTACAGCTGATTAGAAACACCTAATTAACATAGAACCACAGTTTTTAAAATCTCAGATATGTACGGGCCCTCAACTGAATCATAGAATCATAAAGGTTGGAAAAGACCTCTCAGATCATGAAGTCCAACCATCACCCCAACACCACGGTGCCTGCTAAACCACGTCCCGAAGTGCCACATCCACATGTTTTTTTTGACCCCTCCAGGGGTGGGGACTCCACCACTTCCCTGGGCAGCCTGTTCCGATGCCTGAACACTCTTGCAGTGAACAAATTTTTCCTAAATAGAATCATAGAATCATTAA